CAATAATCTCGACTAAAGCAGAATTGAATCATGAAAACGTGCATAGATTGAATATGAACTCAAGATTATCAAGTAGGAGTACTCATATAATCATCCAATCAAACAAACATAGCTAGGGTTCCTCAAAACCTAAGTGAAGGGAAGTTACTCCATAGGGAAGAGAGAGACTGCAGTAAGAATCTTCAGATGATCAGTCTTCATGTCCGGGCTTGTTCCTCGAGCTTCCAAGGCGAAGAAATCCTCCAATTCCACTCCAAGAATGCCCTCAAATCGCCCTCTCTCTCTTTGGTTCGTCCCTTGGGTGTTTGGGATCCAAAACCCAGCTCCCCCTTGCAAAAACGCACAAAACAGTCTTTTAACAGCCTGCGTTCGCGATCGCCGGTCAGAATCCCCTGTCGGAGATTTTTGGTTCACGGCCGGGATTTTTGAAAACTCAACGTCTGGAGTCAGGGGAAAATCCCCTGTCAAGGCCAAAAATCCCCTACCGGGGATCTTAGTGTCACGATAGGGCCCCCTTCTGTTTCTCAGAGAAGCCCGAAACCAATTTTCCCCTATCTTTGATTCTTCGTTTCTCCCTCGTTCGGACTCCAAATCAGGTGCCGTTTGATCCCAGATGCTCGTAGTCTCGTCTTCTTTCTTCTCATGACAAGATTACATGATTATATAGTCAAAAACGGAGGTAGAAATACATTCTTCTTCAAGTCATACCCGAGTTTCTTCCCCCGAGTCGCCAATTGATCTCTGATTGACTTGAAACTTGCGCCTACGCTTCACTTTATGTGCTAGGACCTGAAATGTGGCAAAGGAACACAACCTAGCGTAAAATAGGCCAAAGAAGCGATAATGCAAGCTTAAACGATCAAGAAACAAAGGGGAAAACATGTTCAAATATCGAGTCATCAATTTCAAAATGGGTGTTAAACTTGGCATATTAAGTCTTACGATTGCAATAACTCAGTCGGGTTGCAGGTTTGAAAATTTTGATTAATCGAGTTGCGTGGAATGGAAAATGAGAGGGAGGTTTGGATGAGAACTTTGGAATGAAAATTTTATGGGCGGGTGAATGAGTCAAAAATTATATTAAACTTGATAAGTAATTTTTGACGGTTCATTGTGTAGGTTATAAAGTATATGGTTAGGGTATAGGGTATAAGGTACAGATGGTTTAGGCTTTAGGGTGTATATGGTTCAGGTATAAGGTATTGATGGTTTTGACGGTTCTAAGTTTTTTATTAACATATGTTCACTTGAAGTCATTTAAAATCTTTAACGGCAGGAGATCACTTTTTAATTTATGTTTATGGTACGTGGTTAGGGTATAGGGTATATGGTGTAGAGTATATGATATATGGTTAGGGTATAGCAAATATCAAATTTTTGTCCATGTTTCGAAAGTCAAAGTATGGATTTCACTTTAAATTAACTATACTAGCAAAATCACAACTCATAGGGATATATGGTTAGGGTATATGGTATGTTGTTAGTGTATAATATATTGATGGTTTAGGGTATACGATCAACAATATATATTAACTTAATATTGTTGATTGAGAGTAAGGCTAAGTGTATAGGATATACGTTATTGTGTAAGTTACGAATGAAGTCACAACAATTTTACTAAATTTGATAGTTAATCTTTAATGGTTCAATTTTTAGAGTAATTCGAACCACTTTACAAATAACTCATTTGCAACAGTTTACTGACGTTATTAGGGAAATGAGTTATTTCGAAATAACATCTTTCAAATACCATATGTCAAATACCAAATTTGCATGGTTATACTAAACGAGATACGTTAATCCAATTACTACTGAAATAATATTAAAATACCAAATAAATAATTACTGGTGTCTTTTGGTTACAATTGTTGCTACTGTACTTTACCAATTACGATTAATTACATAACAAGTTTGCAAGCCATATAAATTGATTCAACAGTTTGACTATTTTTTTTTAAAATAAGTATATATATGAGGTAGAAAAAAATTGGTTAAAAATTACGAAAAATATTTTAAATTAGTGTAATAAAATGTGTAAGTGGGTAACGAGTAAGGAGTAAGTTACTCGATGCGCTGACCTGAACAACCCGCAACCCGCCCGACCCAAAACCTAATGAACCCGTAACTCGATTGAACCCGAACCCGAACCCGATAAACGCGCAACCCCATGAACCCGCAACCCGTTTGAACCCGAACCCGATTGAACCCAGCCCGAACCCGCCTGATTGACACCTATACCTATGACGTAAAATCAAAGTACATATTTATAGTAAAATAAAACCCTAATAATAAACCTAATACTACTTGAATTCTACTAATCTTGATTAATAATAATTCTAATAATAATAATAATGACCCCAAAATGGGGTTCTATCGGCCTGGGAAGAACATGCCACCTCACGAGAGGGACCATGGACACGAATGACATGGTGGTGAAAACCACCATCCGAAAATCCTCATTCATCGATCATTACTCTAATTCAACATGCTGCTACAGACTGTTAAATTGAAATACAGGTTATTGATCAAATCACGTTTGATTCGTTTGTTCACAGATGATTGAGTTACACAATTTTGCCAAACATTACAGTTTATGTGAGGTTCAGAATCAAGCAATATCAGTTGTTGTAGCTTTGCTTTTCTTCCTCAATCACTACTTAAGAGATAGATCACATTGCTGAAGGCGCTCACAGTTTCTTAAACTATACGGGTATGTGTACATGGCTGTTGTTGTGCATCTATAACTCTCTTTTTCGTATTCTCTGCTTATGAAGTTTAGCTTCTTTTATAGATGTAATCAGTCATGTCATGTGGCATTTGGATCACCGGTTCTGTTATACATGTAATCAGTCATGTGGTCTTTGCTGCCCTTTTCTTTGCCTCTTCCTAGGATAGATTTGCAGATGGAAAGAAGTGTGCCCAAGATGGCGCAGGATTCGAACCATTCGTTCATGGTAATTAACCAATGTAATCTGTTATTGCATTTTCTTTGTGCTTACTGTAACAATTATAAGTGGACTGTCATCAAGGTTAGTAATAAATAGCTAGAGTCTTTAGTAGTTTTTGATCCTCAATGTTGCTTACCAGTCTTTCTGATTTCAAGGATGTAATGGCATCAATGTTATCTTCACATGCTGGAAATAATCGTTGTTGCTCATAATTCCCATTAATAGCTTAATAGAAACAAAACAGAAGTTCAAAAGTTGAACCTACTGTGCCCTGTGAAAAAACATTGCGTCGCCACTTTACCAGAGAAATTAAGGGAAATTCCCCTGGTGTTGTAGCCAGTATTGCCATGTTCTTCACTTAATTTCCTCAAATGACGAGGAGGGAGTCTTTGGTTCCAGACTGTCTTGCAAAACTACTTTGGCTGAACCTGCATGATTGGACCAGAGGCTGCCGGAGTCGTGTGTCAATCAGCATCCGTAGAGTCTCCTGCTGTCAGTTGCTCATCTTTGCATCCTTTGCTGTTATCTGTCGCAGCATCACCGCCTTAGTTTTCAACAAGAGCTCCTCCCATCACCTCGAATCAGGTTCTCTTCGTTTTTCGCATGCCCTTGCTATCCATGTTGAACTTCTTTTGCTCTTATTGTTTGAGCTAGACATGCAACCCATGGGTCATCATGAACTATAGCATGCTATTCAATTGCTAAATCTTGCCCTATATATAAGCAGTTGCAAGTCAGTTACTGCACTTCACATCCAGCATGTTTTAAACCTTTTCTTTTGCATCAAGTATAGAGTATAGTTGTTCTAGGTTGTCTATACCAAGGATATTTAGGTTCTGCTTAATTACTTTTGCAATTGTCTTGGGTGATTATTACTTTCTTTTATGTTTGGATAGAAGATCAGCCAATCAGGGGATTATTTATACATTGTAATTTGGATTAACCATGTGAGTGTCATCAATAACATTGCAGCATTCTTATAGAAAGAAGCAGTATTCATTACGTTTGTGTGTTTCAGTTCCTAATTCAACAACATCTTATTCCATGGTATAGCTGAAGATAAATCCCCTGGTTCTATATCTTTTGAAATTTGTGTTAAGGGTTTGATAGGTTGTTCTGGGAATCTAATTCGTGTTTCTATCTTTCGCTAAACTCCAGCTGTAACTGAAAGAAAGAAACTTCTCTTTCAGAGTTGTAGACTTGATTCTGCTGACGTAGGAGGCAGTGAAAGTGATGGCGACAAACCGTGACTATTTAATTAAATATTTTAGTACGAACTCTGCATCGTTGGTACCAAATTGTGATGAGCAGACTAGGACTATAAGGTTCAATGTGAAATATGTTTTGCCAGCTCTCTCAAAGTTTGATGCAATGTATCCATGGCCCATGGGATTTTGTGTCGATTGTATACATATATTGGAAACCCTGGTGCAGGGCATCGTCGCCATGCTGCTACTCGCAAGTTACAGACTCTTCAGTCCAAACTATGTTTTATGCAAGTAGCAAACTGATGTTTAGAAGTTCTGTTTAACTCTATTATTAGTACCGGTGTTGGATAGTTATCTGTTATCGTCTTTTGTTTGCCATTTAATGTGTAGTGTTTATGCAATACTATGTTTGTCATTGCTAGCAGTAACAGAGTGGGTAAGTTCGATAAGTCAAACCGAAGCATGCATACGAAGTGGACTAATTTCTTTGAGGTAAAAAATCAAACTCAACAAAATGTGCAAAAACATCAATCTAGTCAAGAAGAAAGCACGCATAGGCAAATATGAGGATAAGAAACAACTAACGAATGGCGTGTTCAAAGTAGATTATCATGATTCATATATAATCCACCTATAGGTTAGAGCTTATTGAGTATTATTTCCTCCATAATTTCCCAAATATATATGATTACCTATCACTGGAAAAGCAATGAATTGCGGGAAACAAATGGTCTATATCCGTGGCGCCAAAAATAGCAATAACACAAAAGAAAAGTTTTCAACATCTAGCTAATGATCGTAGAAGCAAGTATTGTGAAACCGTACCAGAGGTTATATAAGAGAATTATGAGATAAGGTATTTTGTATTAAAACTATGGTAGTTCAACCGTTTCGTACGGTAAAACCGCCTACCCTTTCGTGCCCAATAAGCGATATTACCAGTCTGTTTGGGCGGTAGGGTACAATCTCTAAAACATTGGATCGAAGTAGGCCAGCAATGAACACGAGGGTGGAACACCATAATACAACTGACAGCAGCGCCACCTTCTAGTTCAGCAAAAAACTCCACCTCTTCTGTTTGCAGATCCCAGGACAGTATAGCGTTCGCATCACCACCCTCAAGCCAGTTGAACAACAAAACTTCTGGCTTACATGGATGCAGACACAGTTGAAGATGGCATCTCTCAACTCGATATTTACCACACCTCGATTTCTTGTTGCATACCAACCCTTCACACAGTTTCCTCCAGGATCGTCGGTCTTCTTCCAGTCTCCAAACACTTGAAAGCCACCCAATGACACCTACTCTGCCCTCGAATGCAATCACGTGCAATGCGCCTTGCGAGCCCGAAATAACCCACCACGGTTTAGCGTCAAACGCAGAAACATCAATGGAAGTGGGGGGTATATCGAGACGGAAAGGATTGAAGGCCGCCACCGAACCATGGAGCCGGTCTTCTTTCAGATCTTCGAATTTATGATAGGACCAGAACAACTCCCCATTGCACGAAACTACAGTTTTGTTTCCGATCCTCAGACAGCGGCGGATAGCAAGAATCTCCCTGGTCCACTTCCAGGACTCGGAACAAAACACGTCTAGCATCGTAGTCGGCCCCACATTATAAATACACACGACTCGGAACCGATACTCGGAAGAATAGACGAATGCTTGTTCATCATCTCCTAGATCAAATTTCCTAGGATTGCAGGGTTCACAGACTAACCTGGCGAGGGATTGGGCGTAGTCAACATGCTTTTTAGGCGCTAAAGGAAGGGCGACCCACTGCTTCGTGAACGGATTGCAGACCAAGTACGATCTCCTCGACTCGTGGTTGTCGTCTTCCAAATCCCAGAACCCGCACAAAACCCAGTCCTTGAAGCAATCCAGAACTCTCAATTCGTCTCTGATGTGCACGCGAGGGAGGAAGCTCCGGACGGTCGATTGCAGCTCGTTCGGATCCTCCGGCAGAGGGAGTTGGTTCCAACTCCGGTGGTGGTGATGAATTAAGCGGCGGTTGAAGGAGGGAGTGGAGATGAGGGAGCTCCACCGCTTGCAGACTGATTTACAGCGGCAGGCGGGTCTAGGATCGGGGAGGCGGATGAGAATCTCTACGAGGAGATCGTCTCCGAGCTGGGTGATCATGGAAGGAGCTTGTGAACGGAGAAAGATAGCGCCGCGACGGTAGATGAATGAGCGCCGGCGGCGGACGAGAGGAGATATTTGAAAAGCACAGCGGAGAATCGCAGAGAGCGGAACGATCCAATTCAGGGATGCTGCTTTACCTTACCGGTTAGGGCTTGGGACCGATTGTGAAGCTTTAGCTTCAACGACCTAGTCTCCCAATGTGTGAATATGGGTTGGGCCTTCTCTAATCGAGCATATATGAAGCTTATTGCAACTTTTTCGTTTCAATTTTGTAGGATGTTTTGTGAAGGGACTGGTCAAACCTGATCCAAAGAACTACAACCCGAGTCAGTCTCAACCATAAAAAGTAATGTAAGGGGAGGGTCATCAACCCAAACCACCTGATGATTCCAACCTGAACCAGAGTGGGCTAACCAATGGGCCAGAGAATTAGTCTTTCGTGGCGAGAATTCCCATTTCACCTTCACACCAGATATAGCTTCATTCTCACCTGCCATCTTCTTGAGTTCATCGCACAAAATCCCAACCTCTGTGAAATCATCCTCCCCTCTATTCAGTAAGTTCACCAGCACTTGGCAGTCCGATTCAATGATCAAAGGGCTGATGGATCTCCGGTTAGCTTCACGCAGACCCATCATCATCGCCTTTGCTTCGGCTTCGATCGGACGACAGATCCCCTTCTCTCTCTTCACCGTTGCTCCAACGAAACCTCCCCTCCAATAACGAATAATGGCGCCCAGTCCGACTCCCTGCTGTTGAAGCACCCCAGCATCAGAATTCAACTTGTAGATCCCCTCAGGAGGAGGATGCCAACGGCTTTCCCGCGGGGCTCTACTCTCAAGAAGACCAGAAAAGAGAGCCGAAGCAGGGTTGGGTTGAGCGTCCAGGTAGGAGGACAGCCACCCCAAAGCTCGAGGTATGATTTCTTCCTCTTCTAGCTTCTGATTATTGTACTTGTGATTGCACCTCTCCTTCCATAGGAACCACATAATTGAGCAGAATCTTTGGACTTTTTCTATGGATGAATTATTGAAGACCTCTTTAAGCCAGTCGATGCATGTCCTTCCTTCTCCCATCTCATACAGGTCTTTTTCTTCACAGCTTCTCCACTGCCTTCGGAACCAGTCGCATTCGCGCAGGGCATGCATTTGGGATTCTGGAAGATTACAAAAAGGACAGTCCGAAGCAGCATTTTCGATCCACTCCTCGATATTGACACCAACAGGTAAGATGTTCTTACTTACTTTCCATAAGAAGATCCGAACCTTAGGTTGAATCTGAAGCTTCCACAGGGCGTTCCAGAAATCGGAATCCTCCATGTTTCTATTGTGAAGTCGGGTCATTGTGTGTTGTTGTTGACTTCGAACATAGTGGTATGCAGTTTTTACTGTGTAAGCCCCATTGTCAGTAGCTTTCCAGACCCTTGAATCTTCCACCGGGGGGGAACGAATAGGGATTTTTTATATTAGTTCTTGATCACTTCTGGAGAACATATTCCTCAGTTTTGATTCGTCCCATCCACCATAAACTTCATCGAACAGGGCATTGACCTTTATCTCAGGAGTTTCCCCATCGGGGGAGGGTCAGCCTGGTAGAAAGCCTTTCCCGGGATCCAAGCATCCTTCCAAATGCCTATAGAAACCCCATTGCCCACTCTCCACCTGAACCCTTCTTCAATCTTGTCTTTTGCACCCATTAAACTCTTCCAGATATAGCTTGGCTGGTACCCAAGCTTTGCTTGTAGAATATCAGTTTTTGGATAGTATCTGGCTTTTAAGACTCTAGCCATTAACGATTGTGGCCTGGTCATCAAGTTCCAGATTTGTTTCCCAAGCATTGCATAATTAAAGGCACTGAGATCTCTGAATCCAATTCCTCCATCTTCCTTATCATCGCACAGCTCGTCCCACTCCAACCAGTGAATTTTTGTTTCCTTTCCCTTCTGCCCCCACCAAAAATTAGCGATGAGCTTCTGAATCTCAGCTAGGGTACCATCCGGGATCTGAAAAACTGACATCGGGTATAAGCAATGGGCTTGGGCCACTGCTTTTATCATAATCTCCTTTCCTGCTTGGGACATCGTCCTGCTTTTCCAATCCTTTAATTTCTTTCTGATGCGCTCTTTAATATCCTCAAAAAGAGCTTTCTTAGATCTGCCCACAACAGTCGGGAGTCCCAAGTACCTCGGCAGTTTTTCTACCTCTTTGATGCCCAACGTACCACAGAACTCAAGTCTTCGACTTACCCGGACATTCTTACTGAAAGACAGCTCGGATTTGCTGAAATTAATGAATTGTCCTGACTCTTTAGCATAAACTTCCAAGATCTCCTTAAGCTGGTCGCATTCTCTTAGATTTGCTTTACCAAAAATCACACAATCATCAGCAAACAGTAAGTGGGAAACCACAGGAGCCTTCTTTCGAATCTGAATACCATGTAACGTTCCATCCTCTTCAGCCTTTTTGATTAGTGTAGACATCCCTTCTGCACATAAAAGAAACATATAGGGGGACAAAGGGTCCCCTTGTCGAAGTCCTCTAGAAGGGGAGAAAATTTCTATCTTATGGCCATTTACCAAAACCGAATAGGTAGCTGTTGAGACACACTTCATAACCAGAGTAATCCATCTTTCATCAAAACCAAGCTTCCTCATGACTTTTTCCAGAAAACCCCACTCCACACGGTCATAAGCCTTGGCCATGTCAAGCTTGGCCGCATAAAAACCATCCTTCTCTTTTTCCTTCTGCTTCATAAACTGGAAATATTCAAAAGCAACAATAACATTGTCAGTGATACTTCTTCCTGGAACAAAGGCGCTTTGCTCCTCGGAGATAAGATCATCCAAGATAATTTTGAGCCTATTAGCCAGGACTTTTGAAATAATTTTGTACACCACCCGGCAAAGACTTATGGGCCTAAAATCTTTAGCCGTGCTAGGAGACTTCACCTTTGGGATAAGAGCAATAAGTGTATGGTTTAGATCTGGGGGCAGAACACCGTTATTGAAGAAATCATAAACCGTCTCTATCTAAATTACTAGCTTTGATCCTTGCCCTTTGGACAGGTAGCTCCTTCGTTTATTGTGTATACATATAATATATCGTTATTAAAGTACCAAATTTTCTATAATCATGTAGATAGTTTCTGTTCATATTTTACCATTTCAACTAATATCATTGATAAAGGAAACTTATACTCTTTCAGTTACAGGACTTGTTGATTAGGGCATCACTAAATTGAGCCTGTAAAATGGGTATTGAATATTCGATTTGGCAAGATAGAACATAAAATCATTGACCTCCAAAACTTCATCAAATTCTCATTTATATTCTATACTAGCTTTGATTCCTATCCTTTGGGCAGGTAGCTTCTTCATTATTGTGTATATGTATAATACCGTTATTAAATTAACAAACTTTCTAGAATCACGTAGATAGTTTCTGTAAAAAATACCAAATAGAGTCATTAAAAGTTTTACTCCCTCTCGGTAAATTAGAACGCGAAATTCACCTCCTAGAGACATCCAAGAAAGAGAGGGAAACCATACATCTCAATTTTCGTAAACAGTGGAAGGGTACATTCATCTTAATGATGGTTCAAAGAAAAATCTTGTGGACATGTCATGTCGTTTTGTAGTTTAAACTCTGGTCAATCTATAAAATTGCATACGATGCCTAATCCTACCATCTAGAGTTAGGGTTATTTAACGCCTGTCAGCTAGTGAGTGAAAATCCAACTGATGTAATGGATTAGAAATCTTGAAATGATATGATCCCAAATGGTCAATTATACACGTTTAGTTTACTTGACGAAGAAGCTAGCAAAGTTGGGAAGAAGAAGGGCAGAATTTGGCGAAGTCAAAATCCGTGTTCAGGGTACATACTTTGTAGGCATGGTTCTCTCAATTGGCTTAATGGAAATTCAAGTTTAAGGGTTTTTTTGGCAGATAAAGTTTCCATCTTTCCAATGGTATGCTTTTGTGGATCCAGATGATGTCATTATGATTGTTTTCCAAGGCCTCAAAGTTGCTTCCTCAAAACTGGAAAACTGCCAAAATTTGGTTAAGGCAGAAACTGTGTTCAAGGAGCCTACTTTGGAGCTCCATTCCAGAAGCATGGATGAGATTCAAGTCAATAGGCTTATACCACATGAAATTAGGTATGTTCTACTACAAAGACATGACAATGGATGATTGGATGCTTACCTGGAAGGCTTTGATCGAGAGGCTCACAGATGGTATCAAAGCTGTTTGGTTACTTTGAGCTAAAGGCAGATTTCTTTTTCTTGTTTAGTTAGGATTTCATTGTTTTGGTAGTTTTTTATTCCTTTTCATATTAGATTGTAATTAGGAGTTTATGGGATGTGTGTAACCCTAGATAGGCCTATTTAAACTTTCTATTTCGTTGAAAAACTCAGACTTTGTTGAATAAAAATCGAAACAGTTTGGTTTGTGCAAGTTGCGACTTGTTTTGGGTTTGGTGGATTCCAAACTTGCAGAGCTTGTGTATCGATTGAATAGTCACTTCAATCGTGGTCGAGCAACTACCCTTTTATACCAATCGAGCTATCCCAGGTGTGGATTTGTCCTTTTGGTTCCGTTTGATCCAAGTTCGTATTATGAAGGTTTCGTTCTTGATTCGAGTTCAATCGATTCTTCGCTTGAATCGTTAGCTGCGTTACTTTGATAACATACATCCCCTAGGGGCGTATTACGAAAGAAGTTAGATTGAGTCTCTACATGAAAATGACGTTATAGAACAATTGTTGAATTATCATAATGAGCGAGATGATGTTCATTAAAGAAAATCTCGAGGGAATGGAAATGTTCTATGGTTGATGTGGATTGGCTAATCGTAATCATGGCTACAGGTCCATCCAATGTTGTCGGCGTCCCCGATCAAGGGGCCACGTCTGCAAGAAACCAAAGGGCCTTGGTGAACCCTGGTAAGCGCCCCCTTCTCCCATTGTTCTTTTTGCTAAAATTCTCGATTATTTGC